CATCGCTACTAGGAACAAGAAGCTACTAGGGGCTCCTGGCCTTACTACTAGGAGCAAGGACGCAAAGGCATCGCTACTAGGAACAAGAAAATACTAGGGGCTCCTGGCCTTACTACTAGGAGCAAGGATGCTACTAGGAGCTTTTCAAAACGTGGCGTCTCGGCTTCCCGTCTCAGCTTCTCTCGGGTTCCCGGCGTTGTCGGCGAAAACGGTGACCCGCACGAAGGGCGCCCACTCCTCGGTGACGTCGTAGCAAAAGGCGATGCAGCGGCGGAGCGTGTGCTCCAGCGGCTCCGGCATCGGCGACTTTTGGACCTCGTCCTGAGTGGAGCATTCATCTGGCTAAAACTGTTCAAATCACGGTGTCAAACATATCAGGGAAAATGAGGAGGAAAGGAAAAGGATGAGAAAGGCCAACAAAAAGGATGTGCTGTAGAAACTCAAGCTCGCCAAATCACATAATTCATTTGTGTAATTACTGTATAATGCTGGCTTTCAAGCTTCACGAAACGATGGCCAGGGTGGTTGTTAAAGCTGAGCCAGGTTTCCACCAGCTGTGCCACCCGTTGCTTGTATCGCGATGGCAGCAAGGTGGCAGGCAGCCCACTGATGCAGGCAGGCTCTTCCGGAGCGGAGCTGTGGTTTCCCCCCATGGCTGCGAACACGTGCTGCTTTGGCACGGACTTGGAGAATGGCGGTTGGCCCGTGCAAGCAGTAGCAACGTTGCAACTCTCATGCAAGCACTCTGGAATCATTGCTGCATCCGTAGAGTGAGCAGTCTGCAAGAACAAAGACACTTTGTTGTTTCATTTCTTGTTGTAAAACTCATGTGCAAAGCTTTGAGCCTGAATGTTTCCCCGAAAGCTTAAGTGGTTGGCTCAGAACCGCGCCGAGAACCAACTCTTGTGCACCTGGACATGCAGCATCATAGGCTGCCATAAAGAAAAGATCAAAGCACGTGCAAACATCGGTGCAGGTATGTGGAAACCCCTGAAACCAAGGACTCCACAATACTACTCCACAGCTCTCAAACTTGAGAAGCTCGTTAGAGTATGATTCCGGGTGGTATATACATCCATTTGTTTCATCACTTCTTCAACATCAAAAATCTTCAATGGAAGCCATGCCAAGAAGTCACCATGCTGAGACTTAAGATCAAGGCAAAGGGCCTCTGGCCAAAGACCATGCTTGGTGTAAGCGAAGAGCGCTGCCTAAAGTCTCAGTTCGATCCTCTGACGAGGTGTGGATTCTCCATATTCCCTACACTGTTACACCTCCAGCCTAATAGTGATGGCCTCCAACCTACTTGCAATGGCCTCCCCTAAGAGCGCCCTTGCTACTAGTAGCTTCTTGTTACTAGTAGTAATGCCAGGAGCTGCTATGCTCCTAGAAGCGATGCGGTAGCTTCTTGTTTCTAGTAGCTTCTTGGCCCCCCATTATCAAAAGGCCTGAGGAGCTTGATCGATACATTGCATCGAAACATGCACGGGTTCTTGAGGCACTTCAACCTGAAGGTTCATTCCATGGGTGACACTATGGAGAACAGAAAAAACGCAGTGCCCAATAATTGGAAAGCGTGACCACGGAATGTGCACTGACAGTGTATGGCAGTGGCCACGGGGCAAGCCGGACACACTGCCTCGCGACTGCCCATGAGGCTGCCACTCCCAGGTCTGCCACTGCGCGTAATTCGCCCTGGCGAAGACACGAAGTGCCAATGCGGAAAGGGTTGTTGGCTGGAACTCACTTTGATTCGATGGAAAGGTGCTGATATTTATTCCAACATAATATTCCAACCTCTGTCTGAATATGACAATCCAGCCTCGCCTCTCGATGCCTCTCTCTCTCTCTCTCTTTCTAGCGCTTTCTCTATATGCAAATTTTGGCCTTGTCCAAACATAGTGCCCAAACATGAAAGAGTTAGAAAAAGCGCATGGAGCAACTACAGCCGCGAGATTTTGGCCATGGGAACTATGACAACTGTTCGGTTTAGCCGAAAATCTTGAAAGCATATACAGATCAGCCCGGTGCCTGCTTCTACTTCAAGGGATGGTATTAATTGTCACACATTAGCTCACACCATACTTACTTCTGGATCCAGGTTGTGGGCTGATCTATCTTCGAGTCGGCTCCCGCTTCAGGTGAGGGCTGCCAAGTACTTCGATTCAAGACATCAACTCCTGCAAGGTCAGTGGCATGTGCCAACACCAACGCAGACTGGAGCCGAGATCTGCTTGAATGGCAATATTGTTTTGATTGCATGTGAGCATCCCAATTATCCCATATTGAACTCGAGCATGAAGCCCTGCAATGTCGGGAATCAGCAAGCTGCAAGTTGCAAGCTGTAGGCTTTCAGCCTCGATAGCCTCTGCACTACAGTAACTTGACTAAAGTGCTCTTGACAAACAATCCTTGCATGACCGCAAACCACACACCAAAACATATTGATTGTCTTTTTTGATATGACAACTTCTGGTGAACACCAGCATCGATTTGACAAGAATTTTCTCCCGACTCCCTCTCCTTGATCTTTCCGTTTCGGAGCAATGGCTTAACTCCACCCATGCCACCTGAGGTCTCGTCATGTCTCGTCTATCGAACCAACAAAGTGACTAAGCGACCATCTTGCAGTGACTGAGCCAGCCAAGTGAACCTTTCAAGACTCATTATGTCTATTCAGTTAGACGGGGTTTGTATGGATTTGTCATGGTTTGTCCATGTGACCCCGTGGACTGTTAGGTTTTTGTCCCTTGTTGGGTTGAACATGGTTGAACTTCTTCTTGCAATTGGAGCCACCAGCCTGTTCAGTCCGCATGCACTGACACTAAAGCAGCAGTAGAACTTCCAGTAGACTGTCGTCTTGCATGGGCGAAGATCAATACATCTGCAGATGTCGGCTGCGTGCATACACACAAATATATCAAATATGATCAAATATGTATACATGCACGCAGGTATGTATGCATGTATGTATGCATGTATGAATGCATGCATGCATGCATGCATGCATGCAATGAAGTATGGACGCATATGGATCAAATGCGGATGGGTGTGCGTGTCCGACCAAGGCACCATCATTGCATCCTCCAATGAAGTTTCCCTTGATCCAAACCTTCGGCACGCTGGTCGAGTTGGTCTTGGCCGCGAGTTCGCTCCTGGCGAAAAGGCAGAGCATTCAAGATGACATATCATCCCATGTGCATGGCTTCAGCTGGATCCAGCTCTTTTGCATCAAACACTTGGGGTCCATTATGGTCCCTCTTCCAACATCCGAAGCACTCAGTGCTGTCCTCAATGCCGGATCGACCTCCACGATAAAAGGTGGATAGCCAGCATCTGTGAGGGAGGCCACCTGGGACTCTCACTTGGCTATTTCTGGTCCAACTCTAAAGTCTAGAAGATTTAAGTTTACTCAAAAAAGAATTCCCCAGTTGTTCGAGGACTTGAATCATTCTCCGCAATGGGTGCCATCACCTTGCTCTGGCTCAAATGAACAAAAGGCCGCGGCAGCAGTTCTGAACAATGTTCTTTTCACCAGTGAATTTGGATTGCACCCTCTTGAGTCTTGAGCCATCATTGTGCCCAGTCTTACCTTAAGGCTATATTGTGTGAATAAATGGGGCACACCCGATTCGAACACCCTGCTCCGCTTCGAAGGGTTGTCTGCGCCGAGAGGCTGCATCTTTGCAGTAGGGGCACGTGGGGGAGATGAAAGCGATCACCTCCTTGGGCTTTCGGACAGCGAGCATTGCTTTTGGCGATTGGGTGACGGACAACGGTTTTCCTCCGTTGTTTTCCACCCAACTCAAGAATATGTGGTCATTGATGGCATTAGGACGAAATATATGTATAGATAATTCATACATATGAATTATCATACATCGTATAGTATAGCCATGGTATAGCCATTCGAGGAACAGGGAAACTAAGCGTCAAAAGCATTCCTTGAAACCACCAAGCAGTCTTGATGTAAATTTGACGTCGCCTGCCTCACGGTAACTCTTCCAGCCCACCAGTCGGACAGCCTGGCCCTTTTACTTAGAATGACTATGGCACATAATCATAGCAAAGGAACCCCCCCCAAAAAAACACACAACCTCCTCTGCGCAAAGGAGGTTTTGTAATGTTCTGTTGACATATTATGTGTTTCACACATCCCAGGCTTGATAATTCCACTGACGCCTCGGCCTTTTGCACAAGTAGGTGGGCCCAAAGAGTTCTGCGGAGTCAACACAAGACAACTCCAGGGCTGCTCAGACACATGTTCTGCGATGTACTCGTCCACAGAGGCTCCTTGGATCATAGCATCAAACGAAACGCAGGGCACCAAACGACAATCTTTAGAAGCAGCTGGCTCAGCTGATGATTGCAAAAGAAACTACGACTATGAATTGCAAGACATCCCACATCCACACCATCTCCAAGCTCAAGAGCGGGAAGACAACCAGCTGCAAACACATATCATAATATACTAAACAGTCAAAAGGAAGTATTACACAAATACCACCATGTCCCTCAGCAAAGACAACAATGCAGGGTAAAGTGTCCCGTGATGTTTCCTAACCCAATCTGCTGACAATCTTTGTCAAACAGCCGGTACGCTCCACGTTACGCTTGATCAATCCCAGCAACGCATTGCCGTTGAAGCTCGTGCCTGACGAGGAAACAGGCGTTGTGACACACGATGTGACATGCAACTTCCCAAGAACTCCAGATGCAACTGCAGGAAGACGTGTGCAATGGAAGATGTGTGCACGAAGAACATGTCTTCCTGCAAATCAAGCCTGGATTTTGTGACCTCAGGAGCAACCTGGCTCAGTCGGATGAGGTCCAGGACAAGCCACGCACATGTGAACTGCGATGAAATGCCTCAAACGAACCTGCTCATTCTCAACCCTTTTCCTGCCCCCAGTCTGTCCGTTTGACAGAAAGATCACTGAATCAGAACTTATCACAACACTTGAACTTTTGGGGCCCTTGACCGTCACCCATGTTGACATTGACTGCAAAAAACAATCGCTTCGACCAACGCTTGGCCCGCCTGCCGGCGCTTGGAGCTGCGCTTCGCTCCAACAGCTCCAATCAGTGCTAAGGAAAGCCTTGAGGATTCCATCCGAGCGAGAAAGACCGGATCACACCCGGCTGGATCACGGAAAACAATCCTCAGACTTGAGATTCGGTGTTACCTGCTAGCTACTGGTAGTGTTCTTCTTGTTTTTTTCTGCTTGTGATAGGTTTCAAGGATGACAGGTTAACACACTGCTGGTTCACCTGTCAGACTTCCACATGACTTCTTGCCAACTGCGCGGCACAGGTGTCGCGAAAGTGCCGTGACCGCCGCTGGCCGAATGGCCAGCTTGGGCCGGCTGCGCCAAAGGCACGACCGGAGTTCCAGCTGGGGCCACCTCAACAGGTGCCAAAGCAAAACATCTCAGACTGCCGAGAGCAACTCAAACAATGTGCATCTTTTTCTGCAAATCTCTCACAGTATGGTGTCTCCCGACTTAGGATTCACTTAAGGTGTGCTCTTGTTTGCACTGTGCATCCAGGGAGCGAATGCCACACCGAAGGATTCCATGATGCCTCTGCCTCTATAAGAAACATCCACGGGCACAATTCTGACACGCACGCACACGCATGGTGCATTCTTATTTCTAGTGTTTTTTTTGGGGGGGCTTCCATCAGTGTTACAACATACACATCATGACAGTCCTGTGCTAGGACTCAGTACACCTTACGTGACTTGAAGTGTGAAATGTAGTTGACCCACAACTTCCAAAGCACAACTCCTAATTTTTTACTGCTCTGCCGCTGCCGGATGAATTTACACAACAGAAATGCCATGAATCTGGCCTTCCACCAGTAAACCGCTCGGTTGCCCAGCCGACCAGCACTGAGCCAAATAGAGGCCACCAATGGACAAACAAAACCAGACGCACACAACAACTCCAATAATAAGTGCTACTACTCCACATAAGTTCCCTTCATACAAGTACACATTGATCTCCCCATGCCCTGTCATGTTAAAACTATGTCTAGCCATTTTCAACCCTTTCCTCTATGGCATCGTTAAGCAGCCTTGTCGTCGTCGGGGATCAAGGGGCATTTCAGGAAAATCTCCTCCTTTAAGGCCTTGTCGCTCATTGGCTTGGAAACTCCGAAAACTGCAGTTGGTAGCTTGACCAATTTCAAGATTGAGCTGAAAAGACTTTGTGCTCACGTGTCTCAACAAGAACTGAAAAGGAACGCCAACCGCCTCTTCTGGTATGGTGCACTTGAGCATATTCTGCACAATCACCTGCAGAAGCAGAACATGAATTCACACGTAGTTGCTTAAGCCTGCAGCTGCAGCTGCAACACTGGCAACACAACAATTTGCGCCCTGCATTGTATTGCCATAGCGAGGGTTCGGCGGCGTTGGCTTCTAATAACTTGGCCATAAACTCTTGCATGGTGTCACACCTGGAACTGGGTGAAGGTGCAGTCCTTCAGTTTGGCAAGGTACACGCCTCGAACGTCCAGTCAACATGCAGCGGTTTGGATCCTGTGGTTTCTGATGCGCAAAAATCAAACATTCCAGTTCAAAGACCGGGTAAGGAAGGGCAAGGAATGAAAAACACCATGATTCATAGACACCACTTGCTGGGCTGGTGTCCCTCTCCCCAAAAGACCAAACATCTTGGTACAAGATATCTAGGCTCGTTTGCATCCCCCAAAGATTTTGGTTTGCGACGACCCCAACTGCGACTCCGTTTTCTGTTGGGACCCCAACGTTTCAGCCACTTTTTCAGGGTGACGTGTCGCCTCGCTGCGAAAGCCGTGGTGAAAAGAAATGCGGCGGAAAGAGGCGAGACAAACGGCGGACCCGCAAGAAAGGCTGACGCCGTACTCCTCAAACTTCAGCAGTTATATGAATACTTAGGCTGCACATGGCTGCACCATCTTCGTCGTTTGAATGCCATTATTTTGTGAATGTACCTTCTATCTCATTGGCTCCGCTGAAAAAACATTGTACTTTTAAAACTAGTTATATTATTGACGTGTCTGTTTCACGCCACCACTCCTTTCAAGGTGTCTACTCAACATGATTCAGTTTTGTGCCATGTTGTTGCACCTGTTTAAATGTTGGTCCGTTTTTGCAGTGGTGTGTGCAAGGCACCGCTCCCTGTCTGGCAGAAAACATTGCAGTAGAAGCGATACAGTAATTGTGGTTTCCCCCGAAAACAATCTCTTCTGGAAACACAAACGCAACAACAACAACAACAACAACCACCACGACCACGACCACGACCACGACCACAATGCAGCAAAATGCGGCAATATGTGGCATATGTTCCGAATGCGGACACCCTTGAACTTTGAAACATAAACTTGCTTGGTGAAAATGCTCATGTTGCACGCATATATGTATCAACAACCCACAGCGAATGCCGGCATGCTGTCCGCCGCATCGTTTCCATCACAGATCGCTGCGTGGGAGAGCAAACAAGGCACACCATGAAGGACAAAGTGGAAGCCGTCTCAGCCTGCCGCTACGCATGCCGCTGCTGGCTGCAATGGCCAAAAACATGAATAGTCTACGAAAGCTGCGCCCATCATATATACAGGATTGGGGTCCTTGATGTTTTTGTGCAATTTTAGTTGCAACGATCTCATTGGTTTTCACTTCGCAACAACCTTTTTTTTCCATGCTGAATTGAACAGCAGAACTGCCTGCTCATGGGCTTTTGTCGCCGGCGACCTCAACGAGCTTGGCTAAAATATGAGGAAAAACAACAAGCGCACAATGGGTCCTCAACCATCTGGAGGAAGCTTCGCTGAACTTTTCTGTGGTTCATGGATGTGTCAGAACTTTCTCTCATTAATTGACACCTTGTGCCAAAAAATGTCCTCTGCATCGGCATGTCTGGAGATATCTGGAGAAAACCCTCTTTCGGATTTGGTCAGGGATCTCCTTAAGATGTGGACGCCGTTCTGCTTTCTGGCCTGGGCATGCGGCTGACCATATCATCTCATGCGAGCAACACTTATCCTGATCCTGGCATAGAATTTTGGGCAGCTTGCTGACATGCGAACATGTGTTCCACAACACTTGGATAATGATGATGGCAAAGCCCTTATTGGGTCCCAGTAGCACCTTCATGGCCTCCTGGACGGCAAAAATGCCCACAAGGCTAAGCCGTTGACGATAGCTCCCATTCCTGAGATGAAGAAGCTGGATGGGCAACAAACAAAATCGAGGTTCGCAAGCAAAGGGCCCTGGACTGCAAGATGAAAAGGCAACGAGTGCAAACTCTTGTCTTTTGGCATTTCTTGGGGTCCTTCTTCTGGGCCCTTGCCTTACCAGTTGTTCTTTGCATAGCTCCAGGTGCTGAATTATCAGTGCACAATTAGTGACTCCAATACTGTCCTGTACCTATCTGTACCTTGACGACTGCCCTAGCAAACGCCTATATATATACATATTGCATTACAAATATGACACTATGTATACACATGATGCGCGCACACACTTATGATTATGCGTACTGACTTGACAGCGGTGCCACACGCCAGCCTAGGTAAAACCGCCTAAAGTTCCAGGTAGTAAGTTTGAGGTCCAAAACCGATAGCTTCGTTGGGTGCAGTTTCCACTGTGCTCTGCACCCCCCTGCTGCGAAAAACAAGATGGAACCCACGAACCCGAATGAAAACACGATCGAAAAACTACATATGTCCAAATGACACTCTTGTAGGACACTCTTGTGGGACACTCTTCTGGGACACTCTTGTAGGACACTCTTGTAGGACACTTTTGTGGGTCACTCTTGTAGGAAACTCTTATAGGACACTCTTGTAGGACACTCTGAAAGGACACTCTTGTAGGACACTCTTGTGGGACACTCTTGTGAGACACTCTTGTAGGACACTC